ATTGCAATGTCCTACCTGTTAATGAATACTTCAGCTTCAACCATAACAATACAAGAGCAAAACAATAGATACAAACTCAAGGTTAATCACACCAAACTTGACTGCAGGAAATACGACAGAGTGGTCAATGTCTGGAATACTCTACCTGACTCTGTGGTTTCTTTCCCAAACCCCAAAAACTTTAACCTTAGACTGTCTACTATTGACCTCACCCCTTTCCTAAGAGGTCTGTAGGGGGCATGCATAAGCGTACCAATGTGCCTACCCATCCCTGTCCTATTGTTTCTTTTATTTTTCTTATATGTACCCATTTCATGTATTCACAACTATGTATATAGTTATACCTATTATCTTGTAAGCGATTGACAAATCAAATAAATCAATAAAGTATGGCAGCAAGGACAAATGGTAGCAGAATACAGCAGTATCTTCATCTCTGCCATGCTATGCAGGTGGTCAAAAGGGCAGAAACTGGGGAGGGGGAAAGATAGGTGGGTGGAAGAGTTGAAGAGGCAGCACTTCACACACATCAGAGGAGTTGGCCCTGCCTCTCACTGCCACCTCTGACCCCAGGTTGACAGAGCATCTATATTGTGAGACTTGAGGCCCATCTACAGGAAGAGATGCAAGGCAACACCAAGGAGGAGGAAGACAAGGACACCACCGTGTATGACAGGGAGGAAGGTCCACTGGGGGGGATGGAATACAGTATCATCTTCATCTTCATCTTGGCCATGCTGTGCAGGGTGGCCAAAAGGGCACAGATGGACAGGGAGCTAGGCTAGCAAAGGCAGTTGAAGCTGAGGTACTTTATGCAGGGCAGGAGAAATGAATTGGCTTCATCTGTTATCAGTGATCCCCTGGAATTGTCACTTGATTTGGAAGAACTGAAGCGCTCGACTAAGAAGATCAACACAGGAATGGCTTAGATCATGGGTGTCTAACTCAATTGCATCACTAGTTGGATCGTGACGTATCACAATATTTTGTTGCCTTTGCAGAGCCAAAGTCGGCATGGCCTGCACATGATGTATTCAGCCCATGAGCCACCAGTTTGACAGGTCTTGCTTAGATAGAGGAGGGTCTGCTAGGAGGCAGGAGACTTAATTACCATTTGCAATTTTCTCAGCCAGCTTCTGGCAAACAAAATCAATGAGGAAGCTGGCAGGAGGTTACAAGCCGTGGTCATGTGAGGCCCTTACCTATAGACTACTGGGAATGCTGAAACTGCTATGTGGTCATGCAATATTTTGCTTAACAACTGCTTTGCTCTGTGACAGAAATTCCAGTCCCAATTAGGCTCATAATCCAAGGATTACCTGTGAGGATACTCTTAAAACTAATTAAGATTATTTCTGACTGACTGAGATGGAGGGCGAGCATGTTTCCTGTTTTTTGACAAACTGGCAAGATGGGAGATAAGACTGCTGCTCTGAAGATAAAAAGGGCAATATAAGGATATAGATCAAGGGTCTTCAAACTTGGCAAGTTTAAGACTTGTGGACTTCAACTCCCAGAATTCCTGAGCTAACATGACTAGAGGAGGAATTCTGGGAGTTGAAGTCCACAAGTCTTAAAGCTGTCAAGTTTGAAGACCCCGATATAGATTAATTATATTTCATTAAACAGGAAATATAGAAGCACTTTTGTGGAAGTACTATTAAATCAATCGTCTAGAAGCGCAGATGTATGTTGTATTTAGCCAAGGTAAATGTTTTCCTACCAAAGGTAGGTCAAAGAAAAGAGGCTGCCAGAAAATGACAAAGTTGGTCTGATATTTTTTTTTTGTATTCTGTCAAATATTTATTATTTTACCTCTGATTGAGCCTTTTGAACGTATAAATATTTCAAATATAGTGAGGATAAAGCCCCAGAAGTTCAGGTTAGTCTTGCACATCATGATTATATCTTCTAAAGTGCCATACGTACTTTTCTAACCAATTTTTTTCAGAAGGACTATACATAGTTAGACCACTACATGGCATATATAAAATATCTGAAATAAGCTTTTTTAAAAAGAGGAAAACCTGAAGAATTCCATTTATTTGTTAGAGTTAGTTCTAGTCAAATTCAATTCTAGTTTCAGACAGTATAAGTTCAATGAACTAATATTTAATTTTCACATAAGGTTCAGTTTATTTCTGGACCCTTTTAGATATAAAAATCATTGCTAAATCTCATTTAGCAATGAGATTTATTTCAGCAGCCATTTATACTATCAATAGTATAAATTTATATATACTATTGATAAATAGCAATTTATTTCAGCTGTCATTTATACTATCTCTAAAAACAACTACTTAAACTTTAAAAAAACAATTTGGTGTTGTTTTTATTGATTAAATATCATTCTGAACAATTAATAGTATATATATATACATATATCTAGGTCATGTATCATTTTCTGGTAATTTTCTCTTCTGTCCAAATAAAATAAAATCAGTTTAAATAACTGAAATGCGTAAGCTCAGGATTATTAATAACATTAATGAGAATGAATATAGGAAATTTTAGTCATATAACTAAAGCTGTTCCAAAGTTGGGTAGTAAAAGTATACAGACTAACCACATGTGGCAGGTAGCTAAAATTAAGTTCTGTTAAATGTCTTTTAATCCCATGGCACTTACTGAACAATATGTAAACTGTATATTAATTCATAAATTATAAATCAGTATTTAAATGCAGTAGTAAGAAGCAAGGATAATGAAAATATTTAGAAGAGATATACTGATTACACATCATATACAGAGTAATAGCCCCACCCTCCCAATGACAAATACACTGTCCAAGTTAACTCTCTTTATGACAATCCTTAGATATATTTATTTGGAACTATGACTTGCTGTGTTCCTTCTTCATGCAGTGTTAAGCAAACCAAATTCTTGTCAGAATAAACCCTTTGGGTTTTTATAAACTTTAAAAAAAATTCCTAGGAGTACATCTGACTGAATAGAGTTAAAAATTCTTGCAAGTAAGCATAAATAGGATTACAATGAAAGACAGAACACCTTTTTATTCTACAATGCTATCTGTGTAAGTTTTATCTAAATATTTTGATACTGTATTTATTTGGATTTTGTTTCACAGTCCATGTTTTTCACACTACAATTTATTGCAACCTCCCCCCCTCCCCTTGGGAATCTTATTGATCTAACTTAACAACAAACTCTGTAAGATAAGGATCATTTATTTTATCTTGATCTCCTTGTCAACACTTATGTATCTGGCCATCCCATACATGGCACAGATCTATCTATACCTACTGCAGAGGTATGGAAGAGAGGGGTATTTTTGCTTTTGTACTTTTTTTCCTGGAAAGTATTATGATACTTTCCTTTGATTAAAAAACAACAACAGTGAGAGAAAGGAGAAAAATATATTTATTCCCAAGGCAACCGATGGGCTGTATGAGACAATGTTATCTCTACCTTTGATGGTTGTTGTTATTTTGCAGAGTATCTTCCGGTCCTCCTGTTACACCCCCCCCTTTTTTTTTCCTGTGCCCTGGTGAATAAAACATAAGCAATCCTCACCTGTGGAATCAACACTTGCTGCTATTGTTAAATGGATTTGTTACAAATACAATTACCCATAGGGAAATATCAGAACCAAGTGTAGGACTTCGAAAAAAAGAATGCTTTATAAGAAACTACAATTAGACACAAAAAGGCCAGCCTGCGTTTATAAGTTATCATTTTGTAAGATTAGGAATTATGAAATAATACACTGAGTATTATATAGTATCCAAATATTCTACATTTACAAGAACTGAGGAATTAAATTACAAAATAATTATTAGAACTGCCTAGAGTAGCCCCAAAGCGAGGTAAGCAGCAAATAAATTTAATAAATAAATAATATAGGCAACGTACTATTAAAAACTGTCACCTATTATCAGTAGGTTTTCTTTTTTTATATTTACATTGAGTGCCTTGAGTTCCTGCATTTTTTTTTTTGTAGTTTCCATTTATGTCACAAATTTGGCCCAGCAGTATTTACATGCATGCACCCACACGCGCGCGCGCACACACACACACACAGAATTTGTATCTGGGGGTTCTTGAAGGTTTACATGAAATTTGCTAAATCTAGTTTGCTAAAAGCATAAGAATATTATTAACCAAAATAATATTTATAAATCTATCTTATATAGATTTTATGAAAGAGCAAAATATTTTTTTTAAATCCTGTCTGGCTAGGTGTTAGAATCATCCTCTTAAGCCGATGTTTTATGATCTTTTTGAGATAGCAATTTAAAGGTGTTTTTTTGTCAGTGATTAAGAATCTTCCTGTTGTCTAGGATTAATAAGGCATTTTTAAAGCACGTTCAACACTTATGAGCTTTGCCAGAAACAGTAACTCTACACTGTATTTCCTAATGTTATGTTTGAAAAGGGGAGGGGAGAGGCAGCCAAGGTGAGTTATAGCTTAGCACCGCCATCAGACAAAAGCAGTATTTATACAGCTGGATTTCATTATGGTTATAATGCACGGAGGCGGGAGTGGAGACTGACCATTCACTTCCAACAACGTGTACAGACGGAGGAGTGTGTGCTCTTTACACAGAAACACACCGAGATTCTGCCCCCAACCCACCTCCCGGCTGCACTACTGAGGGTCACACGGCGCAGTCCCTAACCAGGGAAACGCGTCCTGCGCGGTTCACAAGTCAGCCCCCACCCCACCCCCGGCACAACGTTCAGACGTGCCATTCCTTTCCCCGCGATTCCGAGGCAGGGGCCCCGCTCAACCGCAGCGGCGGCGGGAGCAGGTAGGGGAGGCTCCCGCTGCAGCGCGCCAACATCGCGAGGCGGAAGACGAAGAGGGAGAGAGGAGGTCGGGGAACTCTGGTTCATCCGTCCTTTCCCCCCCCCCCCAAAAAAAAAAACCCCCAGAACTGGTCCCGAAAAGAAAGGGCAGAAGGCAGGCAGGGTCCCCGGGGCCAACAAAGCCTCCTTCGCCTCAGCCGTGCCCGGAGAGAGCGGGCGCCCGTCCTTACCCGATGGAGTGGCACCGAAGACTCTCACCACGGGCACCTTCTTCACGGGGGCCTCCCTAAAGGGGGACTGGCAGGGGTCCAGGCCGGGTAGCGGGCTGCTCATGTAGTAATCGGCGGTCACGACCCTCACTGAGAACATGTTCGCCGCCACGAAGGAGAGGCGCCGCTAAGGGCTACCGCTGGGCGCACCCCGAGGCTGGGGCTCGGCGCACCCGTCCGCAGCGCCAGAGCGCAGCCCCCGCCTTCTTTCCTCAACACGCCCGGCGCGCACGCGCTCCCGCGCTTGGGCGAACCAACGGCCGGGGCCGTCCTCGGGGTAGGGAGAGCGAGACGCGCACGCGCTTGCGCCGGGTCTCCGCTTCCCCTCCCCTCTCCTGTCACCAGGATCGAGCGCCACCCGGGAGGAGGCTCTTTAGAACGAGGTGGACCGTGCGTGGCTCGTCGTGAGCAAATCCCACTCTGCTCCTGGCGCGGAACAGCGCCAGAGCCGGAGCTTTCTCGGCTGCGGTTGTTGTTGCCATGATGATGACGTCACGAGACGGCCACCTTGTGGAGGGTTAAAGACGGGAGGGGATGGGGGGGGGGGCGGTTGGGAAGCGAAAAAGGTTGGACTCTTCCTCACGCAGCATCCAAGGCGACTTTAATAACTCGCGCGTGTTTGGGCTTAGAGAGAGAATCATTGCTATCGAAAGTTCGGCTTTCGAACTCCCAGGGCCGGGAAAAGTTATACGGAGAGCGCAGTCGCGGTTAGGGACTGGACTGGTAACTTGTAAGGGATCATATTTAGCCGCCATTTCAGAAGTCGAGCCCTCTTAACTCAAAGGGAAGGAAGGTGAGTTCCTCGGGCGCCTTGGAAGGGCGTTAGAGGGAAATTGTGTGAGGAGCAGAAGTCGCGGGGAGGAGGGGTGGGGGGAGGAGAAGAAATACCACCGGGCAACGCTTCCTGCGCGCGCTTCTTTCTCTCCCTCCCCCGCCCAGTTAAGGAAGGGCCGTTCCTGTCGGAGAAGAGAAAGATGAATGGAGCGCAGCCTTGCTGAAGGGCGGGGGTTGCAAGCAGGGCGGGGCTTTAGCTGCGCGCTGCGGAAGAGGAACGTGCCTCCCCCAGCTGCGGAGCTCGGCGCTGACAGCTGGTCTGCGGTGGCGCGGGAACTTAAGACTGGGGGCCGCCAGCCAGGTGGCGGTACAGTTGTTGAAGCCTGAGCTGACTTGGTGGTTGTTAAAAACCTGCCAATTGGGGTGACAAATCAGCGGGGCGATCGGCTTTTTATGGGAGGGTTTGCGCGCACTGAATGCCTCCTCTACAACAAAGCGACGCGTGCCTGCACAAATGGTTTTTCCAATTCGGCTACGTTACGGAGCCAAGTACCCTGAGGGTTTAGAAAAGGTCAAGTGCCATGCATTTGTCATCTTGCTGCCCCCTTGGCACAACGACCGTCGAACTGCAGCCGTTTATTGGAATTTAGAAATCTCTTTCACTGATCAAGGAAACCTCTGGCTGTGTAATACTTGCTTAGTGGTTGCATAATAAAACTGTTCTGCTATGGTAAAAAAAAGATTCACCACAAATTATATCTATTTTTCCCTTTTTTGACTTTTTTTTTCACTTAATGTACACCTATACAGATATTCTGCCTTTGTTTAAGAAAAGGAACGTTGTCCTATGATAACTGAGGCACTGTACAGAGCAGTATTATGTTTCTCCAGTTTGGAATATATATTTTTTTGCTTATGCAACAAATGCCTTAATTTAGTATTTGGAATTTTCCACTAATACATGCAAGCTAAAGGCTCTCTCTCTCTTTCTTTCTCTCTCTCTCTCTCTCTCTCTCTCTCTCTCTCTCTCTCTCTCTCTATATATATATATATATATATATATATATTACGTTTAGGAACTGTCAATGCTTTTGTAAGGTATTGATGATAGATAATAGATAAAATAACTTCATTGTCACGTTGAATATACACTAATCTTCATACATTAAAATAAAATTTCATTGCATACAGTATTCATAAATGTTTTTCAAATATAAAAGTATGCAGAGTAAGAAGAAGAGGTAGTTATACCATGACAGTGGATAGAAACTTGAAAGTACATGGGCTTTGTTCACCAAGACATTTATGGTTAACCTATCCATAGTTTATTTAACAAACTGTTCTGGGGTCATTCAACTAAGAACCCTAAATTAACCATATGGACTGGGTTCACACTGAATACTTGGTTAGCATGGCAGCAACAGGATAATATTCTCTAGAGTCTAGGCTCAGAAACTGAGCAAGTTTGGGACTGGTATGAGAGACCAAATAATAGTAACGCTGTGTGGGTTAAATTAGGAAGTCAAAAGCACCTTCCTGAAGAACGTAGGGGCAAGCCACTTCCATACTGCTACTAAGAAAACTCCATAGTTATATCCATTATGCTAGGGGTTGTATTGGGAGTTTTTTATTGAATTCTCTATGTAATGAGAAATAAATGCAGTATATTGTATGAACACAATCATAATGCAGACTGCAGTCTGGTAGCCTCGCTAACTAGATTTTCTTCTCCATGGATGGAGAGAAAGCACAGAATCAGAGGAAAGCTGACTTCATATGCAATATTTACTTTTTATTGGGAAAGGAATAAATGTGTCATTTAAGACTTTGGCTGATCCCAAGCTGTTGTAGCATCTTAATACCTCTCTTCCCAGCAGTCCTAGAGATGACCTATATTAAATTTCCTTGTATTCATCTCAATGCAATGGAATTTGTTTGTTTTTTTAAACAGAAACAAAAAAACCTACTTTCATTGAATCCAGACTATTTCAGGCATCGGGGATTCCCACTGGAAATAATTTGCATAACCTTACATTAACATTCTTTTTTATTTCTCAGTTTTGAACATATGCAAACTTGCTTGTCTATTAAATAGAAATTTTAATAAACAATTTTGTGTACAGTAAAATTTTTATTTAGTACTCAGCAGCAAATCCAATTGTACCTAAAACAAAGACCTCTGTCCATTGCCCTTCAGAATGTCTAATGTGTGTTGCTAGGCAACAATCCCAATAATGAGCTGTAAATTTGAATAAGCTACCGATATCAATCAAAGAAAATAAAGTAGCTTAATCTTAAATATGGATATTTCTTAACTAGCTCTCTGCCCTAAATGACCTCTAGATTTCCACATCATATTAAAAAACAACAAAGCTAAGAGCACAAGCCAATTGAGATTTAAGTCCTCTGCCAAAATAGGTGATCGTTGATATTGAATTAGTAACTATGAATATACCAGAATAGATGTATTACTAGGATGCAAAATATTATATTTTTACTGTAGAAATGCTGAAAAGATCCAGAGACCTAAATTTCCTAATATCTTACTAGGGGCGTGGCCATATACAACATACTACCACCTTAATATCTCATCCCTCTCCTAGGCAGGATTCTCTATAGTAGCCTTGTTTACCTTTTGTGTTCTTGGACAAATGAACACACTTCCGAACAAAGCACCTTCCATCTTTTTTATTTGTTATCTGAGAAAGTTACAGCTGTATTTAGCTGAAATAGTTTTTGAAAATAAATACGCTGTAAGCTGTCACTTTTATTTTTTAGTTGTCTTTTCCCCCTTGTTTTTTTGTAATTTAAAAAAAGCCAGGTGATAGGGCTTGGAAAGCCCAGTGGCATATTGTAGAGTCCCTATTAATTGATAAATACAAATTGCATTAAAAAAGAAACAGACTTACATAATAGATTGACTTTTCTATGCCAATTTTTATCAAGTGATTTTATTCATTCATAAATATACCTGTGTAATTCTATATATCTAAATACAATAGTGACGGAAATGTCACTATAGTATCTATACAATGTATAATTTTAGTTGCAATATTTCAAAGAATAAAAACAGATAAGTCATTTTTTTCAGTGTTTTTAGGTCTTGTTTCAGCTTTTTCGTCACATATACTACCTCTTCTTCCAAGGAACCACAAAACCCTTTTTTTCCACAAGGAGCCTTTTATCAAAGCAAAACAAATAGTGTAGTCTTTGCAGCATTGTCTTCTTAAAAATTGGGCTCATGAGGAATCTGCAGTTGTATTGTCCTGACAGAAAATATAAGAGGGCATGGGGAAGCCTGATGGGCTGTTTGGGTAGTTTTGAAAGTCATGAAGACCAGAATAGAGGCACATAGAGAATAGTGCCAGTTATGGGGGAAGAACATTCACGGGCAACTTATACAAATTAGAGTCAAGCAAGATGGAAAGGATGTAAGAGCACCGAAACAACTTGTATATGCTGTAGGCCACAAAAATTAGTAGTGCTGGTCAAGGGGAAAGAAGGAGAAACCAGCTGTAGAAAGTCAGCACCCACCCACCCTGCTAGAGAATGAAATATTTTGGGGAATATTAAAAAGGCAGAATAGAATATTTCCCCCAAAGGAGACATGGGAAAAAATCTTAAGGGAGGCGGAAAGCAGCACCAGCCTCCATGCCCCAAGCAGAAACTGAGGAGGCCAGCTTTTAGAAATGCAGATTTGGTAATTCATTCAGGTCAAGACAGAAACTCTTGCTAAGCAATTAGGCAAGACAAGATTAGTTCCAACAAACACCTAGAATTTTCATTTCCCCTTTTGCCTATAGAGCCAGCTATGACTCCTACATGACCCCATAGAAATAAAAAAGGTATAAAAACCCACCCTACTCTCAACTCCATTTTGTCAGCTGTCCAAGAACTGCACCCTGTGCGTGTCGGTTCTGCTCACCAATAAACAGAATCTTTCTTTCCAGTCAGCCTCCATTTTATTCCTGGCTTGGAACTGGAACTGGATTTTTCATCTAACAGCCCAAATTAATGCTGTTCCAGTCTTCCTCCTAGGCTGATTTCCTATGATTTTACCTCATGCATGTATCATCTTTTAGTCAGAGTCTTATGTCAGTGGTTTTTATTTGGTTTTGGTTTTTTGCCTTTTGGGAACCTGGGAGACGATCCTCATTTGCTCGGTTTTCATAATCTTGTACTCATTTGCATTCCTTTCCCATACATAGTAATTCTAATAAAAGTTTCCTTCAGATACAGGTAGATTCCTGATTCATGGTTTAAGTCACTCTTGGATTAAACACACAAATATACATAAATAAAGAGAGGTCATGCTGTTATATTTTGTAGCCTACCAATATGCAATTCTATTCATGCTCTGTGTTAATCAAGTATTCAGTAGCCCATTTACATGCATACAGTTCTGCAGAGAAATCCAA